TGACAAAACTCCTCGAAAGGCTTACCCTTTCAGAAATAACGGCCTTTGCGGACGATTGGCTTTTCCAATGGGTCATAAATAAGTATGAGGATCTTCAAAGAGCTGTGGACTTAGTGGGTTTTGTGCTTGATACATTGCATGAGTTTGGAATGCAGCCCAGCCTGCGTAAGACGGTAGTGATCATAAACCTGAAAGGCAGCCAAGCGCCCAAACACTTGAAGCAGTTTGTTTGTACACTACCCAAGCGGGGTCGGGTTATGACAATTCGCACAAGCCGGGGCAAAGTGCATCTACCGGTCGTCAGCAGTCACACGTACTTAGGTTGCATTCTGAGTTACGCCCGTGTCGAACAATCCACTCTCATGTATCGTGTTAAGCAATCATGGATTGTCTTCAATCGACTACTGCCGGCACTGCGTAGTGTGGGATTGCCCTTATCGCTCAAGCTGGCGGTTTGGCGTGCGTGTGCGTATGCCAGTGTTGTTGTATGGCCTCGACTGCATAGCTATCGGTGTAACAGAATCTCTGAAGCTTAAGAAAGTCGTTGCCAGGCAGCTCAGGATTATCACTAAGTCACCAGTACACCTCAGCCGGGAGCCGGCAGATGAGCTGCTTACCAAACTTTCGGTGCCGGATCCCACAGCAGATCTTGCTGCAAGAGCCCTTCGAAGACTGGTACGTTGCTGGTCAGGGAATGTGTCTGCCCTGCAACATAAACTGGTACACAATCGCTGGAATTTCCTAACAGCGCATTTCCGGACCTGCGCTGAAGATGTCTCCGTGCCACAGCAGTCTGCCCGCAAGCGTTGCGGAGATGCACAAGCGCGCTTAGTTGCAATAAACCGTGCCACGCCCCCGCAACCCTGTCCGCATTGTGGGGTATACTTTGACTCACTTAAACCCGTAAGGGTTCATTGCGCACTAAAACATAAAGACTTACTTTCGGGCCCAGATTCAGCTGCTAGGCAGCCTAGAAGAACACAGCAGGAAATGCGAGCAGACTTCATGTGCCACGCCCTGTCGGCACTGCCTGTGGGAATTCACATCATGGCCATCATTTTGTCAGCATTTTGAGCGGCGGTGTTGTGTTGTTTTACATACGCATGGCCAGACCGTCCCGCAAAATGAGGAGCCTGCTGTTGCCCCTACTGAACGAGACAGTGACAACACAAACTCAGCCGCTCAGACACCGCAGGGTGGACCAGCTGACGCATGCACCACGACCCCGAAGATAGGCTACTATTCCCGGTTACCAACTGAGTTGAGCGCAGCCTTGCGAACCTCGGACTGGGTAAAGGTGGCGCAGTATATTCGCATAGCAGATCAGAACGTTTGTCTGTTCTGTAATGGCTTGCCAGGCCTTCGGATCTCATGAGACATGCCAGGGTCCAGCACAGTGAGCTAAGACACATTTTTGACGCGCTCCCCAGCTGGCTCGAAGCAAGACGGCCGACGGTCTTCAGCCCGTGCAAGTGGTGCAACCAGGACTTTCGGAGCATGCATCATAGTCGCGTCAAACACACCCTTGCTTGCCCTACCCTCATCCGCACGGGCTTGGCGTGCTTGCTGCACGCTGAACAGGACCCCGCTTCGGAAGCTTATGGCGCTCGGGCTGACGGAGGCGCAGAACTCCGAGCTGCTGCACGCCAAGCAGCAGGCTGCACTGATGCAGAGCATGATGGGAACCAGCAGCCTGGGATCACAGGCCACGCCTATGACCCCGACGCCAGCCACGACACTCCCTTCGACTGCAATGCAGCCGCAGCAGGGTATGCACACCAGCCAGAGGGAGAACAAGCGCGGCACGACGGACCAGGAGGAGGAGGATCAAACGGGCAAGGGCCCGAAGTGGCGCAAGGGCCAGCCCAAGGGCGGAACCTCCTATGGTGGTTCGGGAAGCGGCGGCTGGGGCCGCAAGCAGGACTGGTGGGGCAGAGGCCAGGACAAGCACCAGAGCCAGAACAACTCCGACGAGCTCAAGGCTCTGTGCTGCTCCATGGCGCGCTTGATGTTGCGCCACGAGGATCAACATGCGATCGACCGATCGGAAAAGGGCTTCATCCTCTTTTGCCAGGTGAAGGGGCTTTTGTCAGTGGTTCCAGACCTCAAGAAAACCATCGAGGTATGGAACTACCAGAAGGAGAACTCGCCGGAAAGCCTGACGCTTCCACTCAGATCTGCCATGTTGCGCCAGCTATTGGAAATCTGGCACACCCGCCTGGATGCAATCTCCAATACGGAAGAAAGCATGGCCCAAGCCAGGGAGATGCTCATACTGGATACCAGCGGCAGGGTGCCCTATCTCCAGTACAACCGCGAGAGCAAGGAGATGGAGATCAAGGCCGACCGGGACCCCATGACGCTGGCGGATGCCCTGGATATAGTCAAGGAGCTCTCGGACCTCGTCCTGCTTCCCTTGACGACGTTGAGGTTCCATGCAGCGCGGAAGAGGGCCCTCCAAACCCAGGGGGAGATTGTCCCGATGATGCTGGAGGTTGGCCTTCGGACGAAAGAAGCGGATCGAGCTTGGGAGCTGTTTGCCCGCTTGGCTCACAGCGGAGCCTGCAGAGCAGTGGCTCTTACAATGCGCCAAGAACGCCTAGGCCGATCTGCTTTGGCGCAGAATATCCAGAAGATGCTGGAAATCTGTACGGGGCTTACGCCTAGGTAATAAGAGCAATTTCTGTTACAGCAACGCATCCTTGTTCGCGGTGTTGTGGACCCAAGCACGTATGCTCCGAGGGACGACGACCTCTGAAGGGCGTATCGGCAGCCGTCTTGCGGCGGAGGTAAGTAATTTCCGAAAGCGGAAGGAGGTGCTGCACCTATGGGAGCGGCTCCCTTGGAGAGCATTGCACATAGGATGGCGTTACCCTGCTAGACAGCATGATGTAGCGGAGTATTTGCAGTTCCTCCGCCCTCTGCTGCTCTCCTCGACTGCAGACAGCCAATGGGAGGCACGACAGGAATCCGCAGAAGGCCAAGGCATAGCTAGGGTTGATAAAGTAGAGTCTGGTAGCACCTGGCCCCTTTGGCTTCCTACCCCACTCACTGCAATCGCCCGCGACCAGAGCCTCAGCCTGCAGAATCTTGTCGATGCATGGCACCAGCAGCGTGGAGTGCAAGGATTGCTCACTTCGCCGCCCGCTTTGCTGCTGCAGGTCAATAGATTTGGCGTAGGGGATAATGGTAGCACCAAAACTTCTACGTACCTGACCCCGGAGCCTTATATCATGGTACCCAAGTTCCTGCAAGGCCTGTCGCAGCCCAATGCACTGGAAGTTGAGCATGTTCGATATCAACTAGCCGCTGCATTGTTGCATGAGGGCCCAAATGCCACATCAGGGCATTACCGGGCAGTGCTGTATGATGATGACATGCAGTTTCTAACCCAGGACTCTCAGCCCGCACAGCGCATTCGTGCAATCGCCGAGTGGAATCATTGCTACTGCAATTTCTATGCCCTTGTGTACATGCACTGCCCTGGTCCCTAATTAGGGTTGATAAGTGCTCTGCCTGTGCCCACTTGATCCCTGAAGCCAGCTGCAATCCACATGACTTATCGGTACAGTTGGAGCTTTCATCCATTTAGTTGCTCTCAATCTTCGGCACATGACTTTCTGTCTAGTGCTCCTAGTTGCTATATCTTATCGAGAACAGTATCAGGCCACAGGCCACGGCGTTCTCTCACATGGGGCCCTCGGGCCGGGAGGGCGTCGTGTCCACATGTTTGGACCCTGTCACTGCACAGGGTGCGCATAGGCGCCGGGATGCAGATCCTGCCCCAAAACTTTGACCGCCAAGCGAGACTCCTTGCTGCGTTGGGAAGAAAGTAGTAGCAGTAGTAGTACTACTACTACTACTACTACTGCTGCTACTACTACCACTACAATAACTACTACTGCGTTTATGATTGCTACGACGACGACGACGACTACTACTACTACTACTGCTGCTACTACTACTGCTACTAGTGCTGCTATTACCTTTCCTGACTAACTACTACCTGTTAAGTACTAGCTACTAACTACTAACTACTGAGTACGAAGTACTAACTACTAACTGTTAACTATTATCTACTAACTGCCTACTTGCTAACTACTAACTACTAACTACTAGCTACTGGCTACTAACTGCGAGCTACTAATTATGAACTACGAACTACTAACTAAGACTGCTGCTACCAATACTGATGGGGGTCATGAGACTGGGCCATGAGGCTCGTGACAATGAGGATGATCATGATGATGGTGACGCAGTTGCTCCTGCTGCCGCTCACATGAGGATGATGACAAACAGCTAAGAGGAATGTGTAAGGTCAGCAACAGTATTGGCAGCAGTCCACTGCTTGCTCCTCAGGGTGGTCATTCGGGTGGGTCTAGCATTGCTGAGGTGACGTCATCTCGCCTTTACACCAATCTCGGGATCCGCGATTTCAGTTCTGCGTTTACAAATTTAATTTGAAAGAATTTGCAATGAATGCAAAGTTATAGCCTGTAGAGTCAAAGCCCTGGCACTGGCAAACCTTCTGAGACAAACCGCTTCCAGAAGTTCCTCTCAAGAGCCGACTCTGTGGCCAGCGAGATGGAAGGCACGCCCCTTTTTTGCTTGGCCCGCATTGGGGTTGAGCTTCTTGTTTTTGACGGCAGATGGGGAAGATGAGCCGTTGACGCTGCCTGAAGTGGAAGAGGAACACTGCTCGGTGCTTGCCTCGGAACTCTATGAGAGGCATGCGAGAAAGGACAAGGCTTTTGGAGTGATTGGGGGTGCGACTCGAGGCTTGGCGCGCAGAGTGGGACAAAGCTGATATTGAACTGGTCCCTGCCCCAGCTTCTCTTTGAAAGCCTATTGTCTTGGCTGTCTTGTTTGGCTCACCTGTTGCACATGTATTGCTTTGGAGATGCCTCGAAGAGGCCTCGCGGGGCCTCAGGGCTCTGACCAGTTCTGGCAGGGTCGCCTATGTGTCCAGCCATGGATAGGCCGTGGCGACACTGAGGCACATGAGCAAAAGCATCATTGACAGGCTGCTGGATTCCCAGTACACACAAGAAACCTTGCGTGATGAGGACTGCTGGGCAGAAACTCAGTGCGACTCCACACAACCAGATTCAGAGCTGCGTCCAGCCAAACTTTGGGATGTGGAGCCGACACCTGGCCACGACGTGTGCACTACAGATGAAGATGTGGAAACCACGGCGAGCGAGGCGGATGACAAGGAGGACCACAGGCTCGAGGTGCCTTTTCGCGGCATTCGTGAAGTGGCGGAGGCCGACATTGCTGCCGGGTGCAATGCTGCAGCTCTGCGAAGCAGCGAAGATTTGGAGCTTTGCTTGCGAAGGCTTGGTGGTCTGGGTCACAGCCCTCTTCATCCCCCTCCTCCGCGCAGCTTCGCAAGACAAGCCGAGGCCATACGATACCTTGAGGGTCTCCTTGCTCAGGGGGTTTACCGGCTACATCAGCTTGGCCTTTACTCCCGCGAGTTTTCTTCCTCGGGCTGCAGACGCTTCCTTGTCGATACAAAAGTGGGCTTTGCGCTGGAATCCGCACCGAGCTCGCAGCAGTGTGATCAGGTGTTCGACAAATTGCCGCAAAAACATCTGTACGAGGTGTTGATGGAGACACAGCCCTGCTGGCTTTATTTTGATTTGGAGTTTCATAGATGTGTGAACCCCAACCTCGATCCGGGCAAAGTTATCTCGGCGTTCTACGATCTCCTGAACCAGTTCTGTCTCTCAACCTTTGGATTGACATTGGATACAGACAACCTCTTTGAACTCGATTCGACCACAGAAGAAAAGTTTTCCAAGCACGTGATTGCCAAACGTTTGCAGACGGACAGTGGAATGGGCGGGCAGTACCACTTCCAGTCGCTGGCATTCCCGAACAATGCTCAAGCAGGGTTCTTTGTCAAGAAGTTCATGGACTTTGTGCGGCAGCAGCGTTTGGCCACTCTGTTGCACTCACAACTCGGCTTACCGGCAAGTTGAGCTCGGCATGCTAAGGCGCGAAGATGCGCTGCCAGCTTGCTTTTCGCCCGGGCGAAGCCCAAAAAGCAGAAGGAGAATCAGAAAGCACCTGCGAAGGATGAGGATCCAGCAGCAGAGACTCTTGTCAGTTTCACGCTACCATGTGGTTATGTGTAGTTGTGCGCAGGTGAATTGGATTTGGAACCACCCTCTGCTTGCTTGGGTTCGCGTTGGCACGAAAGCCTTGAGCGCAAGGAATGCCTCGGCGGATGAAGCTGCAGGATCACCTCCGTCTGAGGTTCCAGTCGTCGACGAATCCGTGTCTCCTCCCCGCGGTTGATTAGAGGGTGGGCCAAGCGTGGCAAATCCATTGCGTGATGCAGGTATACTCGAAATCGGTGCTTTCGGGTGCTGTTCAGCTCCAAGCATCTTGGCAAACATGCACGCACGTGCGCGCACACGCCAACATGCTGACACAGTCACACTCCAGCCTCCATGGCATGGTGCCGATGCCAGCCAGCCAGCCAGCTTAGTCGTAGTGGTAGTGGCAGTGGCAGTAGTAGTAGTAG